TGACAGCAGCCTTTTTGTAATGATCCTTCCAAAATTTTTATTTCAGATGGCATCAAAACAGAGACCAGGCCCAGAGCAGCAGTAGGGAAGGAGATGGGGAAAAGTGAAGTCTAATCTCAGTTTTGGGGTTTGGTTTCTTGAGATCATCAGTGCTGTTAATATCCCTAAAGAAAGGAGCTGGCTTTGCAAAGACATTACGATTAATGTTACATAACAAAGTTTTTATTGTTAAAGAGAATGTAAATATTCCTTAGTCGATTTGAATTTGATTCAAATTACAACGAAATTATTTAAATACTATTATTTACCGAAAAGGTTTATTTAGAACCACAAGTGACAAATGAACAGCCATGGAATGGGGACTGCTTTTGAGCCTGTTCTCTGTCAAGACCAGAACTCGTTTTTGCTTAAGCCTCAAGCCACCTGCGACCTCAGGGAGCAGCGCTGCCTGTGCAGCTCTGGGAAGGAAGCAGGGGGTGCACACCGGCAGGAGCTCGTAACGTGATACCTGAAAGATTATTACAGTAGAAAGATTTAACGAGCCTTTAATTTTGTATCCATGTCTTTTCTGGAAACAGCTTTGTTCTCTGTCATGCAGCGCACCGTCTAGCAGTACTTGTGAGGGAGTAACAGCCTTTATAATTTGTTTCATGATCAACTACACGATTTAAATACTTTAAAAGCAATTTTATGTTTATTAACAGCGCTGGAGGTTTGTTTGGAAAACCTGAACCTGGAGGACCCCTGACGCCGGGGAAATCTCCCGATCAAGTTGCAGGCTTGCAAGCTCCCCGGCACTGTCCCTCTGTAATTAGGCTGTGACCCCAGTGGCAACTCGGGATTCTCAGTATGGTTCGCACTGATAGCGAAGCTCCTTCGCCTGCAGAGCCCCAGGCTGTAGCCTTGTGTTAGAGCCCTGGGATTGCCTGGAAGAGCCATCCACGTGTATCCAAAAAAAGGAATGCCTTTGGAACGAACCGTTTCCATGCCGCCTTACTTTCGCCTGCAACTAAGGCCGTCCTATACACGGGCGAGAGGAGCTTCACGCGTTGTTGAGCCACTCACTACAAAGCCTGTATGGAGTAGGAACAGTCAGCGCAGGCTTTTGGGGTTGTTTTTTTCTTTTTTTCACAGTATCAACGCAGTGAAGGTGACAGAATAAAAGGAGTAGAACAGGAAATAGTTCTCTTACTCCAGGGGACTTGGCTTTTGCGTAAAAGAGGATCAACGCCAGAAACGCTTCCTTCTTGGCTGCTGCTTGGCAGCGAGCTGGGGTGAGGGATGTCGCTACCCGTATGACTAAGACCACCCCGCTTCTCCACGGAGCAGGGGGGAAGCCAAAAGGGAGAGAAGCATTTGTACCACCAAGAAGCTATTCTATAAACACGCAAAAAATTTAAAACCCCTTGTACAGCACAGTAAGCACTTCAAGGCCTCTTTGGAAAGTTTAATACTTTCCTTGCCAAATATAATACCTCTTTATGCGTGACACCTCCGAGACTGATCACTTGAGGAGGCGGGGAGCAGCAGCCCTAACCGCCGAGGGTTATTTACCGCGCCCTTCTTCCGCACGGCAGGGCGGGGGGGGGGAGAGCGGGTGTT